GCGCGACAGGCAGAGCGACAGACAGGCAGAGCGCGCGCGCGACAGGCAGAGCGCGCGACAGAGCGAGCGACAAAATAGTATGACACAATCAAGGAAGACCCACATGGCAGGCAGGAAAAATGCCGATAAGAAGGATACTTAACAACAACATTATCAGCATAGCATTTTGAGCACTACTTGCTTAGAACATCACATTTTTTTTTCCCCCCTCCAATTTATTACATGTTTGGAATATGTGGTTGCGACAAAATAGTATGACACAATCAAGGAAGACCCACATGGCAGGCAGGAAAAATGCCGATAAGAAGGATACTTAACAACAACATTATCAGCATAGCATTTTGAGCACTACTTGCTTAGAACATCACATTTTTTTTTCCCCCCTCCAATTTATTACATGTTTGGAATATGTGGTTTGCTCACCTTCCTGCAATAAGCCAAACTGAACCACTGATTGAAAAAGTCAGATGAAATGTCTGTAAGCATTTGGTTCAATCCCACAAATCCTCTAAAAAAAACAAAACAAAACAAAAAACCCAAATAAACATAAGAAAAAGTCACTATGATTGAAGTAGCTTCAAAGCTGACTTTGGAAATGATTTAAGAAACATCTGAAAATACACTTCTGATCTGATACTTGCAAAATTAATTGTGCAGTATATTCAATACTTCAAAATTCCCAAATCCCCAAATCATAATTCCCATTACCGCAGAAAAGTTATCCTAGATTTTACTATAAAAGCAAGAGTAAGTCACAGAATATCATATACCCATAAAAGCAGGCAGCTACTTAGTGCCAGAATCATAAACCATCATCATACATAGTAACATTAAACAGAAATGATATTTCTCCTGACAAAAGTATTCCAGCTTAATAGCTTAGCTGATTTCACAGACAGAAGGAAGACTGAAGAGGGACTTGGAAAATGCAAGGAGGTAACAAACAGAACTGAAGCACAGAATTTCTCAGTTTATCCAGCCCATTCACATTTCTCAAAGTACCTTTAAATAGCCCCATTTTTCCCCAACAGCAAATGCATTCCAATTCCTAGCATAAAGGCTACGAAACTGTTCTTGATCAGTCTCCAGTATCCACCCTATCATTAGTGCTGAACGCGCAGAGGCTCATTAGAAGTGTGCCAACCATTCAAGACCCAGTACTGTAGGTGGGGAATGAGAGGGGCCCGCAGGTCTCACAGAACTACAGCTACACCTATTACACATCTGACAGACTGTTTTGAACAGCATGAAAACACAAATGTACCTCCAATGCTGTCATAAAGTAACATACCTAGTGCACTGGATATACCCAAATTATTTACCCACTTAAATTCAACAGCATACATTTGAGTTGCTGAAAAGAGAATCATGTCATAGATCACCTGAAAATTTTGCAAAGTGAAAAGACTAAAGACTCTGGATCAGCCAGTTTTGTTCTCTTCAAGAGAATTAACTAAGCTGTTCTCTGAAATGAATATCTGAGGAGAACTAAAAGCATAATTGCTCCCTAAACCACTCTTGCACAATAGTAAGATCACCAAAACTGATAATGTTGCTTTGGTGTAAATGCAGGCATGCTTTTGTCTACAACTCAATAAGTCTGCCCTCAATTTATGATTCTTTTTAAATCTAGCAAATAGATTCACTACATAGTGCCTTCATCTGCTGCAAGTACTAGCCTAATACTAATAATTGAGGACAATGTGGAGGGGGTTATGAACCAATGGCACACTTCAGGATGTGTGCGCTATACTCAGTTAACAGCATTTTGGAGTGTTTTCAGCACATATGCAGTGGTTATGTGCTTACAATATACTTAAGTATGATATCACACATGCCATACTGTGCTTTTGCTTATTTAGTTACCATGAGCAGGCTAGTGGTTTTAAATAATTAATATAGATACTTCCTTCGGATTTAATTCACTACCAAAGAAACTTGAAGACCAGAAGCATTTAAAAGAGCAAGCTACACAGCTAGAAGTAGTCTGAGACCATCACAGAAGAATCAGATGCTCTGAGGTAAGCAAGAACCGAATAAGAACTACAGACAAGTACCGTGTGTCAACGTAACTAAACCTGTTGAGAATGTTCAGAATTTAAATGGAAGCTGAAAACCAAAGAGACTAAACCCACAAACTTTTGCCACTATAGAGTTGCTGTACTGCTTCCTTCTCCTGCACCAACCAAGTAAGGTACAAGCTCAAAAGAAGAGCCTCCATAGAGTCCAAATCAGCAGCCAGCAGCTGGGAAGAGAAATGGCAAACAGGAAAAAAGAGGTGTTAACTATTAAGTGAAAGAAAAAAAAAACGTTTAAAATGCCAGGCACCTTTCCACAGAAGTTTCTGACAGTAAATCAATCTCCCTGCCAAGTTTCAATAAAATGATGCAAAACATGACCACACATTAGATTCCTAGTGAAACTGCTGCAATTATTTTAGAAAAACAATATATTTATCTCTAATCTCTATTTTGGAAAATGGCCAAAACTTCCTCAGCTGAAACTTACAAAAACATCCAGTCCAAAATATCTACTGTGGAAAAAAAAAAAATCTCCACCCAAAACATTTAATGTTTTGCAAGTTATAAACACTGGAAAACCTAGAAAAGAGACTCTTTCAAAGACAGGTAAAGGACAACTTTAAGCACAGGCAGAACTATCAGATCCCCCATAATGAAACCACGACTATTAGCTCTGTCATTTCTGTTCTCATTCAACTAATGAAATATCTGAGCATTTTTGGAAATACATTTTTTGGGGAGAAAAAAATATATAGCTCCACAATCTTGTCATCAATTATGAAATACCTGCTGGAATAATGAAGCTGGAGCCTTCTTTACGTAAAAAGCCTTACTTTATTTAAAAAAAAAAAAATCCTTTACTGTGCTTTGAAGAAAGGTCATTTTAAAACCTTCACAAGCACATTATTTCAGACAGAAACAAGAAAATAATTTACAGTGCAGAGCCTTAAAAATTCCTCTGAGGATACATACCACAAAGAGGTTCAGATAAGTTTAGCGTCACATAACTGACAGAAAACTGACATAACTCGGAGGTTCTGAGCCTCAAAAAAAAAAAAAAAAGCTTTTCCCCCAAAAATTTTTTTAGCAAAAAAAAAAAAAAAAGCTTTTCCCCCAAAAATTTTTTTAGCAAAAAAAAAAAAAAAAGAAAAGAAAAAAGAAAAAAAAAATCAAATGGAAAAAAACCCCACTTTCTTGAAAAAATTTAAGGCATGGAAATATCTAGCCAGTTTCAGCACGATTCTTTTCTTCAGCTGTTTGCAGAAAGAAACAGAAGTTCAATATTCTTTTCTCTCTTACAACTTCAATATGAATATAGATATCCTAATTATTCTTCGATTCAAACTACATTTAAAATGTTTTCACTGCAAACACACTGGGCACCGGAGGTGAAAAGAAGAAATTAAATTAGGTTTTAGAGAGCTGAGACATCAGCTGAATCTTGGCCCTAGAGCAGTTATTCCTGGGTGGAACAAAACAGCTCTAAATTGACTTACTAGATGAAGGAGGCAAAATTCTTACTTAGCACTTCTGAAATCCAGGCTTGTTTTGATAACTGCTTTCTCATGTATATAATCTTGCCGAACAGTTTGAGACTTGTTTGTCAGAGGTTCTGGGCATTACAGTTTCATTGTTTCATACCACCAAAAAAAAAACCCCCACACACAAAAAAGAACAAAACCCCAAAAAACCTCCAAGGTCCCACACTGTACAGCAATAGAAACATAGATAAAACACAAGATAAAAAGGAAAGAAAATCCCCACCAACAGTTCAAACATTCAGAACAATATTCTGGAGCTGCAAGATTTGTAGACTTCAGTTTTTTAAATCTTGCTTTTTATGCTGAAGGAGCACATTACAAGGTTAGGAACTTGTACTAGGTTGGCTTCTATGCTTAAACATAGCATTAGAAAAACTTCTAAATAGCTTCCTATTTCACATCAAACTAGGAGGAAAGAAGGGAGAAAGTCTTTTGGAATGTTTCTTTACTACCAGCTACTTTTCTTTAACGTTTTATGACCCATGCTGGCAAAAGTAAATCTTAACACGTTTATCAAAATTTAATGTAAAAGAGCCATATTTTTCGAATAGAGCTATGTAACTATGACATAGTTCTTACAGTGGACTTCAATGTACTTTTAATTTCTTCAAAACTTCAAGACCAAAACATTTAACAGATTATTTTTCCTTGTAAAAAAATATGCCAGTAAGTTGCATTTTCTTTTCTACTTTACCACACTCCCCGTTCTTCAGCTGGATTGTGCATCTACTGAGTTGACTGCTTTGGAAAAAGAGGCACTCTGGTAAGCTGGCAGGCTTTGTCTTGTAAAATTTACCTTATTAGAAGGTGTTGATCCTGCCTGAGAAGAGTTAAGTGAGTTTAATTTACTCAGCACTCTGAACCTCACTGAGGATTTTTTTTTTTTAAATTAAAGATATCCACTTCAAAAAGATAAAGCTAAGAAAAAGGTAGTTTAGCACTTAAAGATTTTATGCTGTCCTTTTAGGACAGGTTGAAAAACACAACTACTCTCAAGCATCCATTAATAGGCACCTCCCTAAAAACTTCTTTCACTAGATGTATGAAAAGCTAGACACCCTAAAACCAGCAAACTATCTTCCCATCATAATTTTTTAAATCATAAAACTACTGAAATAGTTTTGTTTAAAAGTATTTCTGAGAAGAATATTTTCTGAGAATATTCTTACAAACTTCTGTAGAACTGAGGTTAAACATTAGTCTGAATGGACTTTATTCCAGCTGGAACAAAATTCTGCTTTTACTCACAGTATCACATTTCTGATTGGTATTAGTTAAAATACAGAGCTGCAGAGGTACAGACAATTTGAGTAATCTCTCTGAAAGGCTGAATGACAGTATCATCGGAAAGAAAGTATAATATATAATATTGAATGTGTTCTCAATAAAGTATTTTTTATTTGTAAGATATACTTGGAAAGCATGTATTACACCAAACAGAAAACAAAGTACAAGACATCTAACTCTAAGGGCACTTAACTCATAATTTTGTGGCTCTTTTTAAAAGCCTCTGTATAAGTTACATGCACAAGATAGTGAATGTTTGCCAAAAGAGTTTTACATGCAGGAAGATTTCTGAAAGATACTTTTAAAATATGAAGGGAATTATAATTTTTGCCTAATATTTAGTAACCTTCAGATACAGTAACACCACTTCAGATCCTGCAAAAAACGCTCTGGAGACAAATATTAGTCTACCACAGGATAGTGAAGAAGAGGAACAAAATTACATTTCAAGGGGAAACTATTTCAGTTAGAGTTACCTTGTACGCCTGCACAGCAGTCACCTTCAGTACAGTGTGGGAAAATCTGTTACACCCCACAACCATGTTTACTTTTGCTACCATAAAACTCTTGAGTCTACAAAGCAGCAAGCTGAAATTGGCTCCAAGCCACATTTCTATCACCCTACTTTTATGCTACTCTAGTCCAGCAAACTATACCCTTACAACACCCTTAACTGGCTGAACGTACATCCCAGGATAAGATAGTCTCTTGCTATATCAATTATATCATAATCTACAACCTTTATGATCAAGGAATCCTTTTTGAATGTTCCATTCTTTTATACTGCCAGGGTGCAATGAAAGTAGTGGTGGTCTGGGTAAATCCAACTGTTCTTTTAGCAGTTGTATTACAGAATAAATGGACTCATGATCCTGAAAGAAATTCTACAGCATCAAAAAGAAAGAGGAGGCAGTAACCTCACAGGGAGCTTCATTTCGATATCAGTCCTCCTGCAAGATAATTTCTGACAATTTTCTCCACAAGTGGCAGCTCTTTCAGTTGAAGATTTCCAGTGCAGCATATTAAACAGACCTAAGGACTGCTGAGATAGCAGAAATTCTTTCGTATTCACCCTTAACTTTTTTTTAAATAAAAATAGTGCCTTCAGAGTGAAGCTTAAGTTCCATTAGAGAACTGCAGCAGAAAAGCTGCAAGTTCTTTCCCATTGCTGCAATAAGTCTATACTGGTTCATGTTTTTGAAGTTCTCTTCATCAGTAAATGGAATAGAAATGTAACAAAACAAAACAAAAAAAGTATCCTGATTCTCTATGCAGGGAGAGCTTAAAAACAGCTTTGGTTAATGAGAGGTTTCCTGCAAACATCTTTCAGATTATTTTCCTTGAAAACATTTATACATTACCATTATTATGAACAGTTTTCATGCACCTGTTTGAGATACGTGAAACACTATGATGGATAAAGTGGTTTCATCCTTTTTTTTTTTTAAAAAGCTAAAAATCTATTTGCTAAAACACCACAACACAACGTATTTCTTCAAGGACTGCATGTAGTATATGAACCAACATGTTTCCATTAAATTTCTTTGACCAACTCTCCCCCCATTCACCTCTCCCCCTACAAAATCATGTCCCTGTGCTTAGCTGCAAAATGGATTAATTAGAAAAGATTTGTTCAGCTAGTCTGAGAAGCAGTTTATCAGCAATTTTTGCCAAGACAGCATCTTGGCAATTTGTAAGAATGCCAAGGATATTGTAAAGCTATACACAGAGCAAAAGAAAATGTTGAAGATTTAGTAATTCAAGTCATGATTTCTCTTTAAAAAGTATTAGCTAATGCATATCTGTTGATAATAATGTAAGATGATCATATTTTGTTTTCCAATACCTTCTTGTTATTTTTTTTCCTTTTTGTAGAAATTACTCAGTACTTTTCTTATTTGTGGAAATTTTTACTTTAGTCATGAACCACTCAACAGCACATAAAAACTGAAGTTACAGTAAAGGTCTATTTAGTAAGAGAATAAGGTTTCCCAAAACTTGAAACAGAGGCTAACAAATATTGTTTTCTGATATGGAGCAATATGTTACAGAAATGGGCTCTTAAATCAAGGGCTCCATACTCTATATAAGATTTGGATCCCCTCAGCGGCAGCTCCTGTACACATGAGGCTGTTTGAACAGGACCAATCTAATTTCTTAATGTTATCCCAATGACAGTTCCATTCTCAGGTGTAGTGCTTTAGCAAATTTTTAATTAATCCCTTTTTAATAAAGACATGTTAACTTGGCTGCTGGTTACATGTGACAAGACATCAGATGAAAATACTCACTCCTTTGAAAGACCAAAAATATCCACATCTCTAGCATTATAATGAAAGTAAAGAACACAGGAGGAAAGATGGTGCTTATCAGTGTCATTTTATTCACTTTATATTTCCCACAGAACTAATGTGTTGCAAGGGAAGGGGTTTCCAGCTACTGACCTTGGCATTCATCAGGACCATACTGTGATTTATACTGAGAATTCCAAGCCTTTATCTGATCTTATAAATAAATGTAAAATACATAAAACAATTATCCTAGTGTAAAATTGAATTTTATCTCTCTGTATTCAGCTTTTGTCTATGCTACATATTCCTATGTTTGAATACAATTCAAAATTAATAACAGCTATAATTTATTTTCTGACTTTTCATTATCTTGACACTTTAACAATCACTTTTTATATACTCAAGCTTTAATTTTATCTAGGGCTTCAAGCCCACAGTTGATTTTTACACATAGAGAATGTACTCCTTAGAATACCTGTTCAAGGAATAAGCCTGTTAAAAGAATACTTTTCCAATTTTGCAGACCAAAATACAGTATAAAGAAATAACAGGATTTTATAACAAAGAAAAACATCAGATTATGAGATAATATGTAACACTGCATGTAAATGACAGAAGAAAAAATGTCAGAAGGAATAAGTTACAGTGAAGTCACTTAAGAACTTGTAATGACTCTTTTTAGAGCTTTCTTGCTTCTGGAAGTGGTATCAGTCAGTGATATAAGCCTTATCTTTAGTATACTGATATCAGCAAAAGAGCATACAAGATTTCAAAAGGTGAATGAAATCCCAAAATGTTCATTTATGTAAGAAGACAACTGTAAGGGTCAAAAGAAATCATCTGTTGGCAGACTCTGGCTTACAATTTTAACATTATGAAGACTTACATCTCTTTAAAAATTCTTATGCGTTACTAATATAACAGGATACTAACTATATTGCAACTCATTTAAAAGTGTTCATACAATTGTATTATCAAGTGCTTTGTTCAATACTTTATCCCATTCTCTCTCTTTCAGAAAGGAATTCTGAAGTTGGTAACTCTGGAAAATTATTAATGAGCAGCTTAGATTTTTATTATTATAGAAAAGGACAACCAGGGAGGTTTTCCCCCCCATTTTCCCCTACTTTAAATTGAATGCCACAGCATTAGCAGCTTGGCATAGAGATTAGTCTAAGGTGCACACAAGTCTTCCAGTGGTTCATGAAAATCACCTCATCGAGCATTGTTTTGGGCTTAAATATAAGGTATACAAATGGACCAATCTAACAGTTTCTTTTCTATTGTTAGAAGCCAGCATTAGTTAACATGTCTTCAGCTAGCCATCCCCTAAGTTTTACTACTGTATACATACACGCGTTGATTTCAAAGAAAGTCATCGCGTCTCAAGTCAAGTTCTCACTACCACGCTGGCTCAAGCACTTTGCATGCAAGCATTACCATTTAGGCAAAAACTTTATTTTAGGCAAAGCAAAAGGCCCAGGAGAAGAGAAGATTACAAGCAAGTTCTCTTATCCAAGCAGGCAGATCTGAGCCAAGCGTGGAAAACAAAAGCAAGGATGCCAATTCAGTCATGCCATACAAATACACACAGTACAGCCCCAAAGAGATTTTGATGAATAAATATGAAGAACAACATAGCTGTGTGAACTGATAGCAAAGTTGCAACTTTGCACACATGACAAGCAGAACTCCAGGATCACTGCTATTCTGCAGAAAACAAGATGACTGGTTACACCAGTGCCTCACATACACTAACAGTGGAATTCATTCATGTGTGCAGCAAACAAAGCTGGTCACTTGGCCTTTGTCACTACAACAGGAATGTCATACTCACAGCAGTCTAGACCACCATGGTTTAAAACAGCACACCCCAAAATGAGTGTTCCTGGGTCTGGAACGGGCAGGTGTCAGGATGAGGCACGTTTAGGAAGCAGTCCCTTGAATAGCTTGTGATAATGCATGGGAAGAAAACAATATAAAAGAACATTGCAGTTAACTGAATAATAGGTTAAAGAAAACAAATAGTATTTTTGCAGCTTGGCATTTATATGTGAACTACTGGTGCAACTCTATGCTTGACAGAAAAACTATGAAGCTCTTGGTAGCTTGACAAGACAAGCTACAAGCTTGAATGAAACGTTCAGCCTAAGGAATTAGAATAAATCTGATGACTGATGTGTTACTGAACGTGACAGGCTGCCATTTGTTTTAAACAGGATCTCTGCTAGGATGTACTGAAAGCAATTTTTTCCCCATTGCCTTAAACATACTAAGGTTTTTCCCCAATGAAATCAGGCTAATCTGTTAGGACAAATGACCTACTCGAACTATTGCCATTTAAATAAAACAATGAAATAGTCATTCAGTTTGCTTAATTCATGCTGACATTAAACTTAGGTGATTAATTTACATCCAGTCCACAAAGGTATACAACAAAAGTGATTACCCTTTCTTCCCAAGTTAACTATAAAGTTGTAACATGTGAGCAAATAAGTGATTAAAGGAGCTTACCCAAGACCTGTTCTTACAGACAGTTTCATATATGGAAATACTATTGTTCAACCAAATTATTATTGTTCAATCAAATTGTTCAATCCGTTATCAAAGCAGTTAGATACATTCTCAAGTGACACAGGAAAACATTTCTAGTAGTATCTTTTTCATATTATCAGCAGATTTTATTCAAAAAATCGGTACAGAGGTTCTCCAACAGCTTTTACAAATTAAGAAAAACTGCTTAATGAAAGTCCTACACTGAAACTGTACTGCGACTGATAGCTAGAGACAGATTAAAACCTGCAACACTAGTTTTAATCTGCCCAGAACCTAGAAAAAGTTTAAAATACTAATACATGTATGCCTTTAATTATTTTAAATGCACATATATACACATACACTATCATACAAACAATCTAAAATAAATAAAAATATCATGTGGGAGGAGATTTATGCTATTTTAAAAACCATACAAACAGCGAAAAAACTTTTGTCAAGAAAAGAGCTGGGCTTAAATCAGAATATCCTTCCAGGAATAGGCTACTGAAGGAATACTGAAGTAATAGCTGCTGAAGGAATTACTGAGAAGGAATCACCATCTCCTTCTGCAGGTAATGATCTAAAACTACACTAAAAACAAGTAAAAATAATAAAAAAGGATTTTTTCATCTGGAATCTGCAGCTTATATAGGGAGAACTCGCAAAACTGGTCATTGCTGGAATAGCAGTGGTAGTGTCAGTTTGAACCACAGTATATTTACAAAGCTAAACAGAGAAGCAAGCACAGTAACTTCCCTGTTTGTATAACCTACTGCTAAAGGAGAACAAGAATCAAACTACTACCAAATTCATTAAAATTTTAGAAAAGCTGTATGTCACAAGGGGTACACAATTTAAAGTTTTTTCGCTACTGGGTGAATTTCCATCTTGGATAGCTGATTCACACACATACATATCACACCTTTGGAAGAACAGTATAGTCCATACTGTTTATCTTATAAACATCAGTATCAGACCTATTTATCTCGCAAGCTCCCCTTACTGCTATACAACATTGCCACAACTAGAGGTAATTAGCCCAGCAGGAAATCTACTTCTAAGCAGGGGTCAGATTATAAGTACTGCATGTATTTTATTGCCAGAACAGAATAACTGGTGTTTTGAAACATGCTTTGTACTACTTCTAGTGTGTTTGTGTGTCTGAATGACTGTTAAATTGAATATTAAAGCTTAGCCCTGTTCTAAAGTATGTGATACTATATTTGGGAATGCTTATCCATACCAACGCACCTGAGATAGGAATAACATTCTTGTATTTACAACAGTAGTTGTAGCCTCATTAAGACAACAATGAGATTATCAGTATGGACTATGAACACTTCCTAGTTATACTTTTCTGTAGTGGCATCTACTTCCACTACGGCTCACCAGAATCTGCTACTGAGACAGATTTACCACCATAGTGAAAGAGTACTTTTTAACAGCAGCACTTCCCAGTTTAGGGCAGGAAGTGAACCACATTCCGTACTGCTGAAGTACAGATGAAAAGAGCTAAGACCAACATTCTGCTATGAAAGCCACCATGTCACATGATGAATTTAATTAAAAACAAACAAACACACACACACACACACACACAAGCACTGAACTGTTTCTCACAGCATTAGAGATTCCCTTGGAAAGAATACTAGAAAAGCATCAAGATCTACTGACTCAGTAGCTATTTTCTCAGGTATTAAAACTAAGGTTTGTGTAACATTTACTTCTGTTTAAAAATAACTCTAGACATGGCTGTTTTCTTCCAGGGACTGTTACTAGTTTTGAAACTGAGAGAAACCCACTCACCTGCAATGACTGATAAATGGCACATACCAGTTATCTAAGGTGTTGACACTAGTTCTCTTTCCTTAACTTCTATCTTTTAAAGTATAATAGAAAAAGACTGAAACTTCCAAACACTAGTTTTTCATGTGTCAAACTGCAATGGCTAACCAAAGAGATGTTAAGATGGAGGGCTCAGCAGTCCTACAGCTAAGACACATTTAAGTCATAAAAAGCTCAAGGACCTTAAAGTAGTCCTGCATGCAGGACTGCAAATGTCTAGGTGTTCCTCCTCCCCCACCTTCATTTGTGTTCAGAAACCACTCAGACCTCAGGCCTTTTTCAGTCAGTTGCTGTGTTACAGCCGATCAATAGAGCAGATCACAAGTCTCTGCACAACATAATTTGTTGTGTTTTGCATGAGTTCTTTAAAGGGCTCAGCTCCCATAATTTCCTTCCCCACTTAATGTAACAGGTTAACAACAACACCACATAGTAATGAAATCTCAATGTATTTTAAAGGCAATCACCAGTAGGTCTTTGAAGTGCCCTGTGCTACTAGGAGAAAAATATATTATCATAATTCAGAATTAAACTGTTTTGGTTACCACTCGAGACCTTCTGGAGCAAGAGAGAGAATCCTGAATTCCACCAGAAGTAGAAAATGTTAATAGTCCATCAGGTAACTGGTGCATATTACCTCTTTTCCATATAACTCAGGAATGGTACCCCCTGGAACAACTTTTATTTTTGCTTATTGTGAAGAAGCTACTAGAATGCACTTCTGACTACGTTGCTGTAAAACGACTAGGGTAAAAAACAAAAAACAACAACAAAACACTCACAGCATGATGGACACCTCCTACCATAGTTCAATATAGGGAATTCTTCAGTAACCAGTTCATAATCTCTTTCTCTGTCCATTGCTACGCATCTTTGCATAGACACTGTAATAGATTAATAGATTCTGGTAAGTAAGCCTACACTTTCCTTCACAACTCATTAAATCAATAAAACATTTTTACCTCTCCCTTGCCTGTCACAACATACCACACATTGTGGCAGCTGTCTCAATCTTAACAAAGCCTATTTCTATACCCTATAACACCCCATTTTCATTTCCTAGACCTGTTATTGCATGAAATGTAATCTCTTTGTTTAGATTTAGTCTAGAAGCTCTGGTTCTTCCCAAACCTTCTCAAAATTCCTAGTCATATATTTCTACTGTCTTCCCTGTGTCAAAATATCAGATCTTGCTGTAACGTCTGCTATTAAACATTTCTTGCATTTCCCTGCTAAATGTTTCATGCACTACATATGATCTAAATGGCTCTCAAAAGAATTCGTGTTGATACATAAGGTATGCTAAAGACACAGATGTGGTCTCAACTTTCTTCAGGCAACTGCCTAATTCTACTGATGCATGAAGCCATAGAAAAATGTTTGTCATCAGTCATCTTTTCATGGGGTTCTCCTTTTACTGGCAGGTACAATTCTTTAAAAAAAGAACAAAAAAATGTTAGGTCAACAAGCTCAATTAAGTTTCGTGTTTTCCCCCACCTCACACCTTTTAATGACCAGTAAGTATGTGATTGAAAGTTAATTCTTCCACTCATTTCAAGTTTCACAGGAGATTATCAAGCTCTTCTTTTGCTAAGTGTAAACTTTCCTCAGAATGTCATTTTCAGGACAATTTAGCTTTTCATCTCTATCCTGTATTTCATTGAAAGTTTCCCTGTTTATTCAGACTTTTCCTCAAACAGTTCAGTTCCTCCTCCCTCCAAAGAAAATACTCCTTTAACAAGAACATGGGCTGAAACTTCGTAACACTTACATTTACATCATTTCCTTGATGGGCATAAGATTATTGTATAAGCACCCAAACCAAGTATTTATACTCTTCCAGAACTTTTCTTTTCGTGCTAGTATCACTGCTTCCGGCTCTACATTAGCTTTTACACTTGTCCAAATAACACGTGTTTCACTTTGTTTCAGGTAGATAGTATTTGCTTCCCCCATTGTGCTGTCATGGGCAATATCCTTGGTACCATCATCATGTTTATATATTTTGCTGATGTTTGAAAAAAGGATAACAGCTATTGCAGAACACTTGAACTTCTGGTGTTTTCCCACCATCCATTGCTGCATGAACTCTTATTTTTCAATTGGAGAGAAAGGAGGTTGAGAGACTCGACATTTCTCTGCTCTTCTGTCTAATCCCTTTCCTCTGGCACCTTAGTTTTTCCTGTGTATTCTTTAGCACTAGTGCAATTTCTATCCACACTACAAATTAAGGCCTCTACTGCAAGATCACCTTTATTGCAGAATTCTAATTACTCTTTCAGGGTTAGTTTAGGGTTTTCTAATATTAAGTGTTTTGCCCAGATAGTTGATCTCTTTTCTCCTCAAAATTGCAAGCTTGTAACAGCTTTTAACCCTAACTCAATTCTTTCCATGCTTCTGTGTTCTTTTTTTACTCTGCTTAAAAACACGTTGCTCATCTGCTTCATGGATAGACTTCAGAACACAAACATTTTAACACAACGGTCTGATTATATACAGGTGGCCTAAAAGAAACAGTACTTGAAAAATGCTTCTGAAAAAAACACTGTCGGGATAAGGCTACCTTCTAACTGTCTCCATTTTTACTAGCATTTATTGATGGCAGAGAAATCAGAAGGTAACTTCAATTGAATGTCTGAGAGAACTCAAGTTCTAACAGACCAACAGCATGTAATATGAACTTTATTTGCATAATACGGCAAATGCTTCTAACTGATTCTCCTAGAAGAATCTTAAAACTATAATTTTCAAACTACCAGTGTCAGTAAAGACATAACTAAACTAAATCAGAAATACTAGCATGTGCTCAGAGTATTACTTATTCTTTGTAAACTAAACAGACTATTAATATAATACTCAAAGCATAGATACTTAGCCAGAGGAAGTATAAAGAGACAAAAATGAACATTCCTGCAAATTTTAGTTTCAGCGACTAAACAAAAATTCAAAGAACATAAAAACATGACCGCTCTACAGCTTGCTTAGAATAACCAAAAAAAAAAAGAGATTATTCTCAAACACACCAAAGATGGCTTAAAATACATGCCAAAGCTACAGTTTGACATTTCATTTGAACGTGAAATTTCAATGCAGTGACCAATTGCACAGAAGTCAAATTATTTCCAAAAACGTATTTTAAAATGACCATAATTGACACTGACATAAGTAGATCATATTTATATCTATTTTTATTTCCGAATAATTTTAAAATGTACATGTGGCTAAGCTTCTAGTGTCAAACATGCTTTTAGAAATTCACAAAATGCTTTTCATAACAGATTATAGAAGAAATTGTTTTTTAAATGCACAGAAATAATTCTAATTTGGAATGCTGTCTCAAGTTCACTCTTCAAACAGCAACAGCTCCCTACTTTTCAGTGACATTAGTACTGTACCACAGCTTGCTAGTGTATCGTGTTAAAAAAGATCCCATAATTTCTTTTTTGCAAATCATAAGCAAAAGTGGCTATTAGCCAGCAAAACAGTTCAAGCAAACCAAAAGACACCATTTCAGCAGAATTCTAACTCAATAATTTGACAAATGCTTTCACAATCTTATGTTTAACTCCTTTTCCTGATGTCTGAATAAGTTTCATGCATATAATGAGCAGCAATGCTGAAACACACATTTCCAAATGTTATTTCAGATCGCATTTTAAAATTCATATATACTCATCAGACAAATTTGCAATCTTTGGGAATGACTTAATTTTACTTTTGGGATATGAGGTACTGTACAAGAGCGTCAATGCACAAAGCTATTAGTCAGAGCAAGAACAATCGGGACTCGTACCCTTCCCATTGTCTTGAAGTGTAAACATCAGCCACTTTGAACTTCAAATAAGAAATGCAGTGTATTTGCTATACAACAAATTGTGTACATGTTACAATAACAGAAAAGTCCTAATTTGCCAGATTTTTCAAATAAGTATATACTTATTTACAGTAAAAAAAAAAAATTACTCCTTCTCCCTTTAAAAAACATTATCCTCCCCTCTCCCTTTAATAATAAATAGAACTGTATCATCACATTTTCAAACAAAATTATCACCTTGCTATTTAGCAACTATTCTCACACTGGAGTGAATAATAACTAGTCTACAGATAAAAACCTCACCTGGTAAGCTGATTCTGAAGAAGTTGTAAACAACTTGCATTATTTTGACACTCTTAACAGTCTTACAAATGACCCATGGGGATATGCCCCATTGAGCATATCGCAATGTTTGGATGATGGTGTGGACTTAAACCATGCAAACTTGGTATGTGTGAGATTAGCTACTGCCAATTTTGACTTTATGAACTGTGTTGTTTAACAGTTTTCAATACTCAAAAATATACTTTCAAAAGGATTAGTATGTACAGCTAACACAAGTGAAAAAACAAAAATACAAAACCAAGCCCTAAAATTTAAGTTTTAAAAGTTCATTCTTCTGGTTTGTACGTTTAAGAGCTTCCCACACTCACCGCTTTCAATGCTTTCAGTCAAGATTTCTCTTATGACTAGCCGTTGACCCAAAAATTAACTCAAAAGGGAAAATGTATTATGCATCAAACTCCTCAGGTAAGCTATCATATTAGCAACATTCTAAACCAGATCAATATATTTCACTGGATCGCCTGCCCCTGATGAAAACTGGGGGGAATCCCTAAGCATTTAGCGCAGGGTCACTGGCTTAATTTCTGCATTAAATGTTAAAACTTTAAAACTACTTTCAACTATTACGCATAAATAAAACATATTACAGATAATATGCTTAACTCTTTTCCTTTCTTGCTCCTCTCTTAAGTCTTTCCTTTCTCGGGACAGAAGAGGCAGGTACTCTCACTATGGACTGTTTAACAGGTTCGCTGTTGGCACAGGGCTCCATCTAGCGGTTAGCAATAATGAACACCCACGATAAAAGCTCAGAGGGAAAAAAAAAAATCTCAACAGCTATTTCACGTTTCCACACCACTGCTTCAGAAGAAACCAGTCGATCAAATATATACACACACATAGGCTAGATAGGAAGTCTTACTGTTCTCCAACATTCTCA